TTTTTGTAGGAATCATATCAGATGCATTTTCCAATCAATTAAATCCATACTTACAGAATATTTGCAACCTTAACTAAGGTCACCATTCCATTGCATTGCATGGCTTTGCGTGTAAATTCATGTAGATTTCATAGGTATACAGAATAATCCCATAGTTTCTAAAGTAATCACAAATAATTTCATAGATAACAGTAACTATCTCATTAATACTGGTCAAAGTGCACAAAGGCATAACAAAAATCTAATGCTTTGTAAATCTTGGTTTTTTCAATCAGAAGAGTCTTAAAAGCTACAAACAGAAAAAGGAATACACAAACAAGCTATGAGGCAGAATGTGGTCAATTCAGCCTGAGGTATGTTTAGGAGACTAGGAATGGTTCATACTGTTGTGTATTTCACTGGTCAGTAACAATGGAACACTCAAACTAACAGGCAAAATTTGGTAAATTCAGTCTGAAGTCTGTTTAAGAGACTACAGGACTGTAGGAATGGTTGAGAAATATGTATAACTCCGAGAGTGGACCTTACATTTAGCAACTAACCGATGTTGTGGTCTCAACCTACTGAGACCTTTCACTATATAAATGCCTTGGATGGACTGGTTACATGATCTGTCATACAGCTAGGAAAAGGAGGAGGAAAAGTGGAGCAAACATGGCATCAAAAAAGCTATTTGGGAACGGAGGGAAAATCCAACATTTAAGAAGAAAGGAGGCCTCAGGTTTCATCTCTCGCACATATGGGATGGGGCAGTGGAAACTATTCCTAGTCTATGGCAATAGATCAGGTGACCAGTCCATCCATGTCTCAAGTAGATACCGCAACATTGGCCAGATGCTAAATGCAAGTCCAAGTATCAGAGTTACACATGCTTCTCCTTATTCCACTGGATGACTAATAACATTCACTCACTAGGAATGGTTCATACCACTGCCTATTTGAATGGTCAGTAACAATGCGCACTCAAAATTTTGCAAGAATTAATCTCATATCACAGCTGGCTTTTATCTTTTTAAGTGTTGTTCACTGTATAACATTTCATAATTATTAATATTATTTTGATGCCACTAAAACTTGGTGACTTGAACACACATATACTGCTTTTTTTAATTATGCTATGTTGCAATACTGTGTAGGCAAGAAAATCATAATTATACGTTACAGTCGGGTTCAAATAAAATTTGAATAAAAATATCACTTTGTTTAATTCTGTCCTCTTGAAAAAAAAATTAGATATGCTTCTCAATCAGCTTCCCCATATCAGCCAGCGCCTCAAAGAGAATACCTGTGAACCTTTTAGCATCTGTCTTTGGGCAAGATTTCTTTGCAGAAATGTGGAAAAACATCTTCGATTCTGCTGGTATCATGTAGGACACACCATAGCCTTCATCTGACACAGGACCAAAGCCACCCCCTGGGGACAACTGAATAAAAAAGATTATACTATAATTAAGAAATGTGACTGCTATACATAACTACGTGGTACAATGAATGCTATTCATAACTTACAGGTAAATTGAGATAAATACAGATAAATCAACTAAGTAGCCACATGTTTAATTTTGTTTTTTAAATCCTGTGCAATGACATTCTAATACATATATATACATCAAAAGCATACAACATAGCTGTTTAACGTTGAATAAAAAAAAAATTCCTAAGGTTACCATGGAGAGATAAGGCTCATGGTTGGCATCTGGGGAGGTGGCTATTTGTTGTTGGGGCTGCTGACTAGTAGATAAGGTCCAAGGTTCTGTGAGAACACTCTTCAAAAATTCACTTTCCTACAAAGTTGTTAATTTAGACCTTAAGTATATGTAAAAGCAGACCAAGCTTTTTGTTCATTGTAATTTGAATTATAATATTACTACAGACCAGAGTAGAAGTGAGCTTATTTCATTGCTTTATCAACAGTCTTCTTTTAAAACTCATATATCTTAAATAGTTCAGAGAAATATGGTAGAGGTGACCAATACATAATAGTAGAACTGTTTATACAAATGTAAAATAGCCCAGTGTTAATGATTTTTACACATGAAGGACACAAAGCAGTCATGAAATGTCCATGAGTACTTACATATCCCAACCCTTTACACAGCACATACAGGGCAAACAGGTGCCTGTCACACCCCTTGCCATTCATAGCATCTCTATACATCTGCTGGTGTCTGTCACAAGCTACTCGCAACAGAGATATCTTTTCCTCATTAGTCACGTTATTCTGGGACATGGCTCTAGAAGATTCAAAGTAAATGTTAAGAAAAGAGCGTTTAACTCCAAGAAGAGGTTTTTAAATTTTTTATAATATATGTCATATGGCATCCAGGTTGACAAACTTCAAATTCAATAAAATTGTCTTTTAAAATTTCAGGCTTGGGTAACTTGGGTCTAAAAACTACAAAAATAAACTCAATCATCACTTTATTGCAAATATCTTAAAAGTCTGTTACATCAGTCAGTGCCAAAAACAAAGCTACGCGGCACATGGAGACAGCAGGTTCTAAGAATGTACTGGCCCAGAGCAGAAACAGTGGCCAGTAAGCAAACAAATTAACAAAATTTCACTTGCCAAGCTTCAATATTCCTGGAATTTGCCATGTGAGCCAGTTCTAACATCACAGCATGCTACATTACAGCAACATCCCAGGTTGAGCACTTCAGCATTATCTTTCAGTGTAAATTTCTCGAAAAGAGTAATCAAATCTCTCTAGCCCAGACAGCAACTATGCCATAATTTCTTAAAGTACTTACTTGACAAAGGCCACAGTCTCTTTAGTCAGGGACCTAACGGTCTCAGTCCTGCCTTCAAGATAAAGCCTGGTCATAGAAGACTCATAGGTCAGTGCACACTGACCATTGCTGTCCCTATAGTAGGCAAGCTGAATGGCCAGCTGTACAAAGGCATCTGGACTGACCTAGAATACAACAATGATATTATATATTAGATATATATTAGATATTATATTATACTATATAAACTGTGCATCAATATTATTGCTCTCTAGTAATATTATGAATATGAATATGCTTACAACCATTTTTAAAAACAACAATCTGATTTAGCTCCTCTCACATTGTTTTAAATATCAATTAACTGATGCATTTTGGACTGGAATAACTAAAAGCAGAAAAAGTTGAACAGATGTCATTAAACAATCAGATAACATTGCGACCCCTTCCCTTTTACGTCTTTGACATTTAAGTCCACAGCGGTAATACAATTATCTGGTGATATCAGTCAAACAGCATCTGGTTTAAGCTATTCTAAGCATGAAAGTTGTTCTGTACTGTGATGAGAACGTCATTACGGACAGGAATAGAAATACTACAAAAAGAGTGAATGCCCTACTTTTCAACACTTCTTGGAAAATCCAGCAATTTATTGAATTCATACATAAAAAGGAGCAAGGGCTTTATAAGCAGGACAATACCTATCCATGTACTAGGTTGCATTCACAATGAAGCTATCATACTTGATATGGATACTCTTGCTGAATGCAATCACATTAACAGTTCAACACCCCTCCTCTTGTTTCCAACGCAATTGATGATCAGTAGCTTTTCTGTATTCTACTCATTGCCAGGACAAAGCATGTTAATATTTTAATCTGATTGCATTCAGCAAGAGTCCCCACAAAGTTAGTTTGAACTATCAAAAGTATGATAGTTACAATGTGAATGCACCCTTAAACTGCTTGCAGTGAAATGGGCAAACATGTACCTTGAATTTTTTGATCGCCCCTTTTCCAAATGCTTGATGATCTCTTACACACAGATCCAGGTCTTCATTGTTCTGAAATTGAAGTAATATTTATTTGTCTATACACCCTATATATATATATTACACACATGCACTTCTTTTGATTACTATATTTTATAGAACTAAATTCTTCTTATTATTATCTTGACTATAAAACCAACACCACCACCTCTGCCACCACCACCACCTTTACTACTACTACTACTACTAATAACAATAATAATAATAACATATCAATCTATCTAAAATTCCTTTAAGACTTAGGCTCTGTTCTCACAACTTTTAGATCGATCTATCACCGCGGGGAGTCTCACTAGATTACCGTCAGATAATCCCCGTTAAGTGTCCGACCCCGCCTACTACAAGCTTTAAGGGGTAATTAACTTTCGTGTCCGCCCGGCTGACAGCTATTTAGCGTGAACCCCCAGGGAGTTAGGTCGATCCAATGTAGGTCGATCTAATCTATGAGAATGGGGTGTTACTCATCAGTTATTACCACTATGGGTTATGAGTTATTGCTTTGAGACAAATCACGTGAAACATAAAATGGTACCTTTTGGTTAAAGGAGATAGCCCTGTCAATGTTGACCCCTAGGTCTGGCTCCACTTCCCACAGCAGCCTGACTGGTTCCTTAGAGGCTGCCTCTGGCCAGAGATGGTGCGGCCACACCCTACAGTGACCATCATCATCATAGAATTGATCTCTATTCAGACCTCTGAAAGATTATTAGAAATATCAAACAAAATTATGCAAATTCTTCTCACTTTGATATATATTTGTTGAAAAAGCCAATCAACTTGTTTAAATGATCTTAGTCTAATTTGTTTCAACCAGTTTAAATTTAAGTGAGGATAATATGCACTAATGCGCAGGTGGTATTACCTCCGTCCTAGTAGTTCAATATGATCTTATATATCTAAGTAATATAGGCAAAAATTTATAAGAATGGATCCAACATTGAAAGTAGTTTGAATACTAAACTGTTGAAACATCTACTTACTCACTGGTTGTCAAGTATTCTGTGAAATGACCCATCACTGGAGCATCGCCCCAGGAGTGTTCACAGTTTAACCCCAACTTAGCATTACTGAAGATCACCATGGTGATGCTTTTATCAAACCAGAGTGTCTTCCCATCACCATGGAGGAGAAATTTGGACCTTGATGTGAAGTCAGTTGGCTCATAGGATCGATGTTCAAGAACAACCTAAGAAAGAGTTTAATTTTAATCAATTTAATTATTTAAAATATATATAATTGTTGAAAATCTGATAATATTTTCCACACATCACTCGCACATGTATAAAATCTCAACTCATAAATCATGATACTGAGATTATAACAACCATAATAAAAACAAAAAGTTATTTCAGTAATTCAGTGCTGACCCACAACCTTACCAAAAACATTGCTCTGTCTACAGCCTCAATGGACTCCTTGTTGATTCCAGAGGAGAAATGTTTCTGACGCAGTTTGGCCCAATCTGTTCTCTCCAAACCAGTCAATGCAGCTACGTTCTTCTCTACATCAGGAAGGGCACCTGAACATCAAAAAATTTCGTATCAATTCCATGACACAATCAGGATTTTTTTCTTATTCATTTATTTGTAAGTCTTACTTATGAAACTCAATACTTAACCCTTTTCTTACATGATCAATGACATGCACATTGTTCTATCTTTTTATCTTTTCCAAGTAAAAATATAAATTTATGTTGACATGTGTATCCGTTAGAAACTTTCCTCACCTTCATGTTTGTCAGCATCATCCATTATCCATTGCATTTTCTTCTCCAGAGTCTGGACATTCAGCATACGTCTATTTGCATCATACATATCCACTTGGTAGAAAAGACCCTTTCTCATGACTACTATGTGCTGTAAGATAAAGGAGGAACCAATACTGATAAATTATTCAAATGGGAGTTTTTGCCACTTCTAACATGTCTTTATTTTGCTCAATTTTATTGCTCTTTTTTTTTAATTGCTTTTGAAAATGAAAACTTGATTTCATACAATACAATATAAAAAGAAATTTACTGGTAAAATGTAATCCAGTTCTTTAACACTCACCTTGGAGGATTTGTGAGTAATCAGCTCATCACAATCTTCACCAGGGACCCTGTGGAGACAAATAAATATTATATCAATTTTTTTTTTTTTTCTTTTTTTTTTTTTTTTTTTTTGGGGGGGGGGGGGGGGGGGGGGGGGGGGGGGGG